CAATTGGATTAATCTACAGATCAAGTTCCATGAGATTAATAAAATATAATCAACAAGTCCCCAGGTGGTGAAAAAGCTACTATTTGTTCAAGTTGAGATCTTTCTCTCCTATCATCCCAATTAGGCAAAGTTCAAGATCAAGGACTTCTTTTTATTCCAGTTAGGCAATAAAACTGAATGGTTTCTAGTCCATACTAAGCTCTAACCTTTTGATTATAGTTAAGAATACATTTCCTCAAAAGTTGTTGAAAAATATCACAATCGATAAGAATACTACTACTTTTGAGATCCTCTTATCATTACAAGGTAAAAGAATTATTAAGGAATATGGCCTTTTGGATAATGGAAAATATATATCAGCAAAATTTCTTTAATTAGACATGACTGTTAGAAGATATTATACTGAAATAATATGATCTAGTCCTTACTAGATCATATAATAATCTGGCGTCTATCATAAGTCATTTCTTTACTGCAGGTGGATAAAAAATCACTGTCTAAAGAAGGTTGGGATCAATTGTATCCTGAAAGTAAAGACTTCTACTAAATGATAAATCTTCTCAGATGATACACAAGAAAATCAAGATCAAGAATAAATAAGTTCCTCAGACAGTCAGGAAAAGAAAAGATATCTTAATTGGACATTTCTTATTGAGAAGAGGTCTTGAGAAGCAAGTCTTTGGAGAAAGCTGAAAATATTTTTTTTTCTTTCATTTTCTTGTTATCTACTTGGATATTTTTAAATATTCTCCTTTCTCTTTTTCAACCTATCCTTTTGTAGTTTTCTATAATCCAGCAGCTTGGTATGACACAAGACAGTAATAACCTGTTGGCAATAATGCAGTGGACTAGAAGAGTTTTTGCCCAAAGACATTGCAGAGCAAAATATTGTTCTCAAGATCAAACTTAGAGACTTTTATACTTATGATGAGTTGGTTAGATTAGAATAATAGTTTAGCTGTAGTATATATTATGCTGCTCAAATAAAAATGTACTTATGTTTTCAATTGATTAATAAATTGACAATCTAGCCTAACTACAGGTACTTAAAAAAAAAAAAATTAAATATAAGGTCATTTTCTTTCTAATCTATTATTCTATATATTTTAAATATCTTTTTTCTTTTATATTTAAAAAATTAGTTATTTATTTTTATTAATAAATTTCTTTTTCAAAAAAATTTTTTTTATTATACTAATTTTAAAATATTATTTAAGTATATCTTGATTTTATTTTTTGCTTTTTCTAGAATATTAATAATTATTATATCTAATCTATAAATTTCTTTTTTTTCTTATGAAATATAAATTTGTTAATAAAATCAAGTTTCTATTTTAATAATATAAGTTGTATTCACTAATACAATAATTTTTTATTTTTTCTTAAGACCTTTATAATTTAATTGTTTCTTGTTCTTAAATATATTATTATAGTTTTATTGTCTAATATTAATTCAATAGTTGATTACTTTATAATTTTTATTAATTAATATTAGTTTATATAAATTCTTTAAATTTTTGATAATTTTCAAAAATTTATTTTTTATATAAGCCTACAAAAAATCATTTTTGTTTTTTTTTTAAGTTACTAGAAATATATAATATATTAAATTAAAAATATTTTTTTATAAAATATTATTTTTATTGATTCTTAATATCTTAACAATAATATTGTTCAAAATAATATATATTTTTAATATTATTATTATTTCTCTGTTAAGTTTATTTCTCTTTATTGTAGCAATGTTGCAATGTTTATAGTTTTAAGTATTTATTATATTTTATTAAAAGTTTAATTAAAGTATTAACTATATTTTTTTTTTATCTACTATCTATAATATATATTAAGTTTTAGTTATATTTACTTTTATATTTTAAAAAAAACCATTAGGATATTAAAAGATATATAATATAGTACTTTCATTTTTTAATAAATTTTTTAAATAATAAAAAGATTTTTTCAAAAAAAAGACAAGATCTCTAGATTTTTATTCTAATTAAATAAAATTAAAAAATCATTAATACTATTATTTTAATTAAATTATATATAAGTTCAAAGTTTATAAAAAAAACTCTTTTTGCTGATTCTTTAATCATATATAAAAAAGATATTTGCCAAAAGTTTTATATTTTCTTGCTAATAAAGTTTTTATATTTTTATTAAAACAACTTGAAACTTGTCTTCACTTATTTTTACTACTGTCTTTTATTTGTTTATAAACTTCTTTGAATAAAAACTTGAGTCTTTGGTGACCTGAAAAAACTCAAATATATACTTTCTTTACTAAAGACAAGAAAATACTAGGAAGAAAAAGAACTGACAAGTGAAATATCACCTTATAAAGCTAGAAGTAACAAGAAATAGAGGTTTTGTTGACAGAAAAAGGTTTATTATTCATCTTTACATATACTGTCTTTTATCTTCTTAAAGTGTCTACTGTTTTTCACGATTTTCTTGAAAAATTTTGTTTATCTCAATTTGATTCTAAATTTCTAATAGCACAATATCATCTAGTATATGATTGGTTAACATGAAACATGTTAATAACTGAATATAAACAAGTTCCTATTGATCACCTTATGTGTTCTGATGATGTCATTAATGATTGAAAGAGTTGATTAGTACCTTGTATTCATATTATTACTTCAATTAAATTAATTTACAGATCAAGTTTTATAAGATCAATAAAATATGAGCAACAAGTCCCCAGATGATAAAAAAGCTGCTATTTATTCAAGCTGAGATCTTTCTCTGTTATCATTCTTGTCAAGCAAAGTTCAAGACCAAGGTCTTCTTTTTATTCTAGTCAAGCAATAAGACTGAATAGTCTCTAGTTCATACTAAGCTTCAACCCTTTGATTACAGTTGAGAATACATTTTTCTAAAAGTTATTGAAGAATATTATAATTGATGAGGATTTCCATTACTTTTAAAACCCTCCTATTATTATTAAGCAAAATAATTATTAAGGAATTTGATTTTTTGGGTAATAAAAGATGCATATCAATAAAATTTCTTTAACTAGATGTGGTTACTAGAAAGTATTATACTAAAACAACATAATCCAGTTTCTACTAAATCATATAAAAACCTGAGATCTATCATAAATTACTTTTTTATTACAAATGAATAAAAAATTACTATCTAAAGAAAATTAGAAACAAATGTGTCCTGGAAGTAAAAGCTTTCACTAGATGATAAGTCTCTTCAAATGGTACATGAGAAGAAAATCATAATCAAGAATAGATAAGTTTTTCAGACAGTTAGAAAAAGAAAGAATATTTTAATCAGGTATTCCTTATTGAGAAGAAGTCTTGAGAAGTAGATCTTTGGAGGAAGCTGAAAATCTTTTTTTTTAATTTTTAATTTTTCATTTTTTTGTTGTTTATTTAAATATTTTTAAATATCCCTTTTCTTCTTTTTTTCAACTCATTTTTTTGTAGTTTCCTGTATTTCAATGGCATAATCAGACACACAATGATAACAACCTGTTGACAATAATATAATGAACTAAGAAGGTTTTCACCCAAAGATACTGCAAAGTGAAATATTGTTTCCAAGGTTGAACTTAGAGGCTCTTATGCTTATGATAAGTTAGTTAGATTAAAATAATAGTTTAGCTATAGTATGTATTATGCTACTTGAATGAAAATGTATTTATGTTTTCAATTGATTAATAAATTAACAATCTAGCCTGGCTATGAATACTCAAAAAAAAAAAGTAAGTTTAAAGTTTATAGATAAATAACTTAAGATAAAGCCTTCTATTGTAAGAATTTAAGATAATAAGTTTCTTAGATTATATATAGTCTTAATAACTAATAAATAAAATTTTTAAATATTCAAAGTTGAATAATACTTCAATTAAATAAATCTCTCTTGAAAAGAAACTGTTTACTTAAAATATAAGAATCTTTTAAAAAAATTTTTTTTTTATTCTTCTATATACAAATAAGATAATTTATAATAACAAAATATTATTCTCTAAATCTGACTTAGAGTGTCTAGTTGAGATTTGTTTTGTTTAATTCAAATTAGATTAATAAACTTCTTGTATTTTTTAAGTAATATAATTCTTTAACTAATAATATATAAAGAAAAGCTAGTTGTCATGTAAAGTCCAAGTAACATTGCAGATTTTTATTTAATATCTCAATAAAGACATAACATGATGGCATGATTGTGAGAAGTTACTGTAACTAATAGTATCTTAAATACAACTTTGATGATAATATCACTAATGCCAGGTAATACTTTTTGTAGGAAAAATTTTTGCACGTAGAAACGATTATTTAATTAAATCTAGTGGGCCGCGTGGGTATAAGAAATCGAAAAAATTTTTTCTTAATTGTTGAAAGAAAGGAACACGTAAATTAATACTATAGGTTAAGATGATGAATAATCGACAATAGATGTTTTCTTGCTAATATTAATAAATGAAATATTTTGCAGATTGTTACGTATTAAAAGAAAAAAAAAAAGTAAGTACATGCACACCTATACGGTATATATACATGTTGATTTTAGGTCTTCGAAAAATGAGAATTTTAAAATGCCAAGTCTTTTACCACAATCTTCAGGATACTTGCCATATTGGTTGTTATTTGTGTCAGTTTTAGCTGTTTTCAATACAATTCAAAATTTTTTAACACTTTCTCTTACGAAACAAATTTACAATGCGAAACCCGAACAAGGTAAAAATTTGACTTTCCATGGAAGCGCACTGACTAGTCTCATCGGGATTATTGAATGCATCTTTTTTAATAGTTACCGAATTATCTTCGCACAAATTTGCAATTTGGACGTTCACCTCGGCTATTGTTCGTTTTTACGCCGCGTATAACATTAAGAACGAATCGTATGTAACAAAAAAAAAAAAAAAAAAATTCTAATATCAAATTATTCAAGCAATTGAAATTGAATATGTATATTCCTAGCATTTATCAAATGGCTATTTGGACATATGTGATCGCGATTTCACATTTCGCTTCGGAGTTACTTTACTTCAGGAGCGCAAACATCGGCCCGGGGTTGTTGTCTCCTATTATTGTGGCCTGTAAGTCGAGATTTTATTTCTGATCATTAGAATGTTTAATAATCACTTTCTAACACGCACACTATATATTAAAGCCATCTCGCTTATATGGATGACCACGAACTATAATTATTACGTTGACGGCGAAAAGATGAAAAAGTGATTGGTATTTCCAAATAAGCATACTTAATATTGTTTCCCAGAACGAAACACTTGATCCCACTTATGAGAAATATACTAGGTGAATTGTAATCGTAAGACACATGTCGAGTTTGAATTTACTAGAAACACACAACAAATCCAAAGACAAACCTCTCCAAAACACTTTTCGGATAAATCCAGCTTATTCTCGTTTCCGTTGTTAGAATCAGCTCTCTGATCCTGAAATAGACTTAATTCTTTTGAGCGAAGTGCTTTATTGTCGTCATCTTGATTAAACTCTGGGAATTTGCAATCGTATCTTGGATAATAAAAAAAGGCGCAGGAGTAGCGTTCATGTATACCATCATTTACCACGCGATGTAAAGGTGACACATAAGCTCCACGCGTGAGAAGGGAAAGATAGTCACCACAATTAACAACAAATGAAACGGGTTTGCTGGGAATATCCCACCATTGGTTATCGTAAAACATTTGAAGTCCCTGTGTATCTTCCGGTTGAAGAACTAGTGTCAGAAATCCCCAATCTTGTTATACATATTATAGGATAAAAATATCAGTAAATAAATATATAACAGATACTACAACATTCACACGTTCGGAAGACCATTTGTTGACCTGTATGCGGCGAACATCCAATTTTCTCGCTCGTACTTTCTTCTTTTTCCTTATTCTCATAGGGAAAATATTTGAACAATCTCAAAACGGAAATAGTTTCTCCTCCTTTGCAATAACCTTTCAATTCCATCCCTAACGCAACTTCTAGACTGTTTACCACCAATTCAGTTAAGTGGACCATCTGGTTATAATATCGCCTTAAAGATTCACACCATTCTTCACCTAATATTTGTTCCAAATTCCCCCATTCATTTTGTCCCTGCATAGGGTTAGTTGGTTTTTCTCCTTCCTTCCATTCATATCCATATGAAAACGCTTCCTTGATCTCAACACGATGGGATCCAGATTCCGATCCAATCCCAACATATCCACGCGTGAAGCCTCCGGATTTTATGGGAATTTTTTTCTTGATGGACTCTGATAAATCAAAGAATTTGCGGGATGACTCTAATATGAGTTTTTGATCCTCTAGCTTAAAAGAAGAAGAGGTGATGTAGAATGCACCATATTTCGTGCAAGCTAATTTAATATCTTTGGAGATTTGGTCCAAGACCTCAGGAGAAGAGTTTGTTAAATTATCCTCGAGAGGGGAAAGGTCAATAACGGGAAGGTCAATTTGTTGATATTTCATTTTATATAACGCCACTCAAGTTGCAGTCAGAATGATGTTTTTATATACGGTTTTTCCGTTTTTTGTGTAACGATTTTTGGGAAGCAAAATCAGAATTGTGACGAAAGGATAACATCAAGAAAAAAGCTATATATCGATAGATTATTATCAATATATACTGTATATAATTAATCGATATATAACTATTATCGATTATATGCATTGTATGGCAAATATTTAATTTACCTAAATTACGCTATAAGCACGTGATTATTGTAGTTCTGACGAAATTTTGTTATTATAAAGCTTAAATTTTATACTTTTTAATAATTAAAATAAATTTAAATTTTATTCTACAGTAGTGACCTGCAGGCAATGAAGTTAACAGTTGGAAGGGTCTTTACCTGAACTGCTAACGGAGCGATAAAT